CTTCGTTTCTCCGAGCTCAGCGGTCTCGGCCTTCTCTTCATACTCTCCTTCACTTGCATCTCCGTTCTCGCTCTCCTGGTCTTGGCCATCCTCGTCGAACTGGACGGTTCGTCCCACCTCTATCGTCATGGCGATGAGTCGTTGATCCGCCGGGTCCGACCCCGCGAGAGGCGATCCTCCAGCCGTCGCTGGGCTTCCGTTGCTCGGAGTTGCTGATCCCTTGACCATCTTCACTCTTCTCTTTCTCTTCTCTTCCTCTTAACTTGGTTAGCTGGCACCTATAAAAACAAGCACACACTCCTGTTCCCGGGTCGCGGCACCAGTTGTGGTGTAGTAGAACACACAAATATCGTCAGATGTGGATTCTTTACACAAACCACAACGAATCGCCGAGTTAGGTCGGCGGTTTGTATGGCCTGCGCAGAGGGTGGTCCCCTCGCGGTCCGGCCCTTCCGGGACAGACGAGTGGCTCGCTTCCACCCGGTTCCGACTAACCAAGTCAGATCACTTCCGAGGCTCCGCCGAGTTTAGTTCGGCTGAGCTCGTTCACAACCCTGTGCCCTCCACCAAAGGATGGACGACGGCGCGCGAGCGCTTTTACAGGTCGCCGAGCGCAGAGGCAGCTCAGCTAGAAGTGTTACGGCACCCGGCCTATCCGACGTACCGGCCCGCTGAGTATGCGGGACTTTCTTTCGCGCGTAGCGAGACTTTGTCCTACCCGAACCGACCTAATCTCTTGGCGCTACCAGTCAATACCCTACAAGCTATGCCTCTCGAGTATTGACGGCAGGCATAATCCAGCCCTATGCAGGGACTTACCGGAAAAGTGTACACGTGTCTTGGACTAGGAAAATTCTGCTCTGTTATCTTCTGGGAGCCCTTTCGGCTCCCCCTATTTAATCCTATGCTTCTCATACAAATATCTAATGAAATGTAGTCGTTTCGGATCTCTACCGACCCTTCAGCTGAGTTCCGGCGACCGTTGAGCTCAGCGGCTATCCGGATAGCATATCCGGACAGATCGCGGAGTACTTACCATGATCCTTTGTTCCTAAGCTCTGGGTTATCAGACCGAGCCGATTCTTGATCGAAAGTAGGTTGGCGTATGGTCGAATCTGGAAATCCCTACACCACAATGGTGTGCAGGGAATTTCTTTCGATGATTTTCTTGAGTGCTTGGTTGGGAGAAGGTGATTTTGAAGGATTTTAGTGGGGCGGTATGTCGTGCAACGGAATTGCTTGCAAGCTATGAGCAGAGAAATAGGGATTTGTCCGCGAGGACCATGCCTTTCGTAGCTCTGCCGAATGCTGAATGGCCGCAGCCCATAATCGACATGAATGTCCGTGTGTGTGAGTTCGGTCATTTAATTCGCGCTCCGAATTCAGAAAGGTGTGATATTTTTCTGGATGATCTGGGAAACAGCAACGAGCGCGCGATGTTTCTTTGCGAATGCAAGTATCGCGGGGACAATGTCGACATGGGTGTACTAAAGGGAATCGTTGCAGGTCTTAATCAGAAGTGGGACTGGAAGATTGGGATGCTTTTCTGCCCACAGCTAGCAAATGTTCGAGCATGGACTGCTCCTGACGTTGATTGCATGAAGGTTGACTGTAAAACTGGGAATGTAAAGTGGGTGCATAGGCCAAATGCCGAGCGTGGTGCCCCGAAGGTGATCATCGTGATCGAAACGGGGCGTGGTGGTGGTGTGGTGGGCTAGCGTCGATTACGTAATCGTTTTCTTTTCAGTGATACGAATTGATAGCACTAGCAACTAGTGACAACAATTAAATGAATACAGCAGTGGGTCAAAATTTAGTTAGTTGCCGACGTTTTCCGGGGCCATACCGTCAGAATCACGAGATCGTTCATCATGGTGCATATATCGGTGTTTATTTATTTGCGTGAGCTTACACTATCTTTAGAGCAAAATTACGGAAACGCTGACTAGTTAATTACGGAAACGCTGACTACACCTTTGCCAATCCAAACTGGTGGTAGTGTAAACCAAAACCGAGTGTCCCTTATGTAGAAATTTATTTTTTTAAAAATTAGAAATCCCCAAAATTAATCCAGACCAATACGGATTTAGTGTAAAGCAAAATGATGAAGTATATCTTATTCGATGGTCGCCTCGATAAGAGTATCTTGTCTTCTACAGTACTGCACATGCACCACGTACATTACATTAGTGCATTGGCTATAGCCACGAGCGCCCCGCACCGGACGCCGTTATAAGTGTACGAACTCTTCTTAACGCTGACTGTAGCGGGGTTACATGCTGTGGAGCACACAGGGGTACGAAGTACCCGGAGAGTTAACAAACTCGCTGTACATAAGTTGGAGAGTTAACAAGGTCTCTCAGTACGTTGGCTGAAAGCCACACGTTATGCATTTGATTAGGTTTAACTATGCTAGATAGTTAAAGAGATACATTTACCCCTAGGCGGCTTGGCCGCAATAATAGTAAATAAAACACTTCTGGTTTTGAAGCATAAAAGTTAAGCTGTTAGCTTTGAGCCCTGGTCTTGGGCTGTAAGTGTCCTTTGGATAAGGAACTTAGTATTAGTGACTCTTTGAGTCGAACGTCTTCCTCTGACGCTAAAGCTACGGCAGCCCCGCTGCACTGACCGTCCAGGCAAGCAGCCCCAACACGAGCGCTTGATGGCACGTCATCGCTGATGCGCCGTTTTATAGACGCAAACTCAAGCTGCAACCCCTCTCCTTCCATTCCCCACGGCTGGTTAACATCTGCAAGCGCAGCCCAAAGCTCTCATCCTTGATGTACTCTGTCTAATCGGGTTGCTGGCCGTCTTGGTCCCTCAATCGATGATTATGCAGGCTGTACAAGCTGAGAGGTCACTGTGTGCACCCACACTCTCGTGTTCTGGCGCCCATACGCAGGTTCACGCCCCCTTACATCTTTGTATGTACCCCAGCCCGCAGCGCACCCGTAGTTCGTATTGCTGGATGTGTCACTCGCGTTCTTGCCAGTTTGCACTACACTAAATCTACATTGCTCTTAAAACTAATTTTGTAAAATTATTCCTCAAATTTAGATGTTACTTCGGTTACTTCACTCCGTTTTGAATTACACTACCAGTTTGGATTGGCAAAGGTGTAGTTAATTAGTCAGCGTTTCCGTAATTTTTCTCTAAAGATAGTGTTTATCCATGTAGCTTTCTAACTGCTTAAGAGCTCGTTTTCATCCTTATCTGGGCGGCTCAGCAAAACGACGCTACACCTACGTCAGCAAATGGTGGAGACACAACCATTAGCAACTTGGTAGCACAGGAGCAGAAGGGTCAATTGTCGCTCCGTCTGGTACAGTAGCTCGCTAAACTATTATTAACTCGTGGGTTCAAATCCCACTTCGGCTTATTTTCTTAATAATTAACTAGCCGAGCGTCGCCGCTACGCGGCGGTAGTTTAGGTTTAGTTCTACTTGTTTTGGCCTTCCCGTCTCCGCTACGCTTCGGCGGATTAAGTATTACAAAAAGCTAGCCCCCCTATGCGCCTCGGTATTTTTAATTTCATTAAGAAATTTTTGACAGCACCATGCTTATCGTTAAAAATAATTATTCTAGTGATCATGAATCAAGATTCTTATCACAATCTCTTTATTATTGTTAGTTAGCACTGTACCACCCAAAACCACCTGCACTTATTATAATGAGATTTAGGAGGTCCTGTTTAAGTCGGTATGACTAGCTTAAACTATACAGACACTAATGGCTGGTGTACAGCTATTGGTGGCTTCCTAATACTAATAAAGTACTCACTTCGTCTTTTGACGCCTACAAGAAACGTCTTCTTCCTTTCCCTACTTCTTCTCGACCTGTCATACGAGTTAGAGGTTATGAGCCCAAGCCAAGCCTCAAGCGACGACTTCCCACGTCTCATTGGCGCCGAGAATTTCGACGTCTGGAAGACCCGTGTGTGCGCAGCACTAGATGGCAAGCACCTACTCGGCTACGTGAAGCAGCCCGAATACGACGGTGTGTCGGAAGACGAGAGTGAAGACATCTTTCCTGGAGCTGTCTTGAATCTGGAATGAGGAAGAACTTCTTTCTAGAACTTCTAGTAGAAGGGGGGGAAGACAACCTCAGACCGTAACATAAAACGTGGTTTAAACAAAAATACTGCATGTACTTGTCAAATTTATGCTTTTTCTTACTTCGAGTAGAAGGGGGGGGGGGAGACAACCTCCGACCGACATAAAACGTGGTTTAAACAAAAATACTGCATGTACTTGTTAAACTTTATGCTTTTATTTTTTAAATTTGCACTTTTACTTTAAGTTTAAAAAAAGAGGGAGATGGTTCGGACGGCGAGCGAGTGGAGTGGCGTCAATGGTGGCGAGCTAGAGTGGGAGAGGCGTTAGGGAGCAGAGTGAATGAGGTGGTGAGCAAGGGTGGCGACGTTCGCGACAGTGGAAGGGCGGCGTGCGGGTGGCGGATACAGCAGCAACGGTAACTGCGGGGAGGCGGCAGTGGGTGGATGAGGAAAGCACTGCTGGCGTTGGTCGAGCTGGACGTGGACGGCGCGTTGTTTGACAGCGCTGAGTGTGGTCGGCGTTCTGGTCCGTGGACGCAGAAGATCGGGCGTTTGCGCAAGTGCCACGATGTTCCCGCTGCTCCGAGCTTATTTAAATGCAAAAGACCGGCTTTTCATTCTACCACTCAACTCACCGTCTACGGCACAATTACGATGAGTGATATTGACAACTTTGGCACCGTCCCCTCAACGCAAACATGCCGGCGACGATGCAGACCGGGACGATTTTCAGCGTTCAGGGATTAATAGAGAAGGCTGCGATGGTATACTTAACCGACTATAGTATCATGGTGGCCGCCGTGAAGGCGGGCGTATCCGACAACCAGTGGCCACATTCGCACCGCATGATAGCTGCTGCAAGTGTCAACGAGTTTCTCTCGTCAACCGAGATTTCTCATACATTCGAAGTAAACGTGTGTTGCTCATTCATCGACTACTCCTGTTGTTAGTACCATAGTACTTCGTCCCAGCGCGTAATGGTAGTGCCATAGCGATGCAAAAATTCACGCACGTCTTTGCTTCTTGCGCACACCCTTGCCCTGTGATCCTGCTCAGCAGCTTCACGTTCAAAACGTGACAGAAGCTGTAAGGCTTCGTCTGCCGTCGGCCGAGCACTCGGGTCTGTGTTCATCAACCGATCCAGGAAAAGCGCTCTTTCGGGCTCCGCAGTCCATTCCCGTTCAATCTTACTTGTCTTCACCAGGTATCCCACGGCCCATAAGTCAACCGCAGTCGTGTGGGATCCACCTTCCATAAAAATATCTGAAGCGTGTTCGTCGTGCGTCAAGTGATCGCCGCTGGGATATTTCTGCGGACTTTGAGCTGCATCAGCGAAGTCGATCAAAAACCATTCAACGCGGTCGATATGCTTGATCACGTTAGACCAACGGATGTCTCTGTGCATCCACCCGTTGCGATGGAGGACTACAAGGGCCTCGAGAACGTTCCCGAGCGCGACGAACAGTTCACTCAAGCTGCATGGCTTCATCTCAACGCCGCGGGGCTTAAGTGTCAACCTCAATTGGTCTGAATCCACCGTGACAACTGCATCGGCACAAGGAATCCTATAAGCTTTCAAAGAATCGTAGATCCGCTTCACGCGACGATACTCTTCTTGTGTGTGAAAGTTCTTATCGACGAAAATCGGACTCAGCCGCACCTTGACGCCATTGGCGCGATGGATGTCTATGAACTCGGTCCCTGCCGAGGCCGGACAGTTTTGCACAATTGCCGGGAAAAGCAGACACAAATTCAGAAGTGCCAGTACAAGTCGAAAACGTTCCGGCGCATGCTGCAAGTTAAACCCTCCAATAAGGTGGGTTTTAACGTTGCCCGTGACGTCTTGATAGATAGCAAATAATTCTAGCTCGAAGCCCGACGCAGCATAGCCAAACACATACGGCACTCCACCGTAGGACCACACCAGCTTTTTAGAGAGCTCCTCACGAGGCACAGTGATAGAAGTACGAGGTTCTTTCTCCTCACCACGAAAAACACAGATATGATCCAAAGCAAACAAAAAGTCGGGTCGCTTCAAACCTGACGAGGATTTCCTGCTCGAATCCCGGTTGACGTAAGCACGCCTAAACACAAACCCGAGCACCACACGGATAATTGAATCCCAGAAATAATGAAATGCACTCTCTGTGGCATCCCCATCCACCTGCGGGTACAGGAACGCAGCGCTAAACACCGAATCTTTTAAAAATTCGCACGGCGAAATGTCGTTTAGCTCGAACAATTTATCTCGAAGGAGTTGGCCTAGTATCGATGGACTCGACCAAGCTTGAAACACAGACTGCGGTAACCCAATCTTTACAGGGAGAGGTTGTCCGATAAATTCATTTAGATCTCCGCGTGTCGGCAGTAGCGTAAGTTTTGCAACTTCACTATGTTGAAATCTCGACAGCCATAAGTCCGTCCCATCAGAAATAGGCGCACTACTTGTCCCAGGAGGCAACGCCACCAGCACGTGAATCTGTTTCACTTTCGGGGGATCCATGCCTTCCAGACACTCAGAAAGCGGATCCTCTCCCTGCAGCTCCTTTTCTTCTTGCGTTAGAGATTTGACGAGAGCAGTCTTCTCGCCCTTCTTCAGCTTCTTCACATCTTCAGTGAGGCTCGACAGCCATGCGTTGCCCCCCGCCTTCGCCAGGAAGAGCTGCAGCTTGTCTGCATCAGCCTCTTTAAAGTCGTTGGCCTTCTTCGCCTTGATCGCTTCCTTCAAGTCATCCACGGTTTTGTCTTCGTCTACTTCCACGGAGAACGCGCTACCCGCCACACCAACAATACAACAGAAAAGCTTCACCATGCCGATGGATTCTGGAATGAGGAAGAAGGGAGGGGAGAGAGAAGTTCCTAAAAATGTTGCACCCGTACCTAAGCGGGAAAAGAAGGTGATGTCACAGAAATGGTAATTTTGCAACGCTCCAGAGTCCCGAGATAATCCAGCAATTTCGTTTACCCTGTCATAACAGTTTCGGATCGTTTGAGTGCTCATTTAAAGCAGTTTTTAAAAGCAGCTTCCTTTTCACAAAAAAAATATATTGTAGGCTGACCCATCCACCAAAGATGAAGACAAAATACATTGCTAAACTTGTACGATGAAGCTGTATTGTAACCTGTCAGAAAACATTTATTCAAGCCTACTAGTCGTGATTAGTCCCTGTCGAAACCCGATGGGGCCTCATTCAGACTACAGTACTAGCAGTATTGTAAAAAAAACTTGCTGCTTTTTCCTACCTTTTTGTATGGCTACACTCGGCCTTTTCAATACATTTGGGTCCCAGCTTACGGACCGCACCTATCTTTCTGACTTGGCCTATGAATGCCAAAATTACAAAAATTGAAAAGAGGCCACACAATTATTAGGGTTCTCAAATGTGCAAGTCTTAGTGCAAAAGCTCTGGCTGTGACGGGGTCACACAGCACCTTGCGCTAGAGGAAGTCAGCTTCCGAGAGTATGCAAACTCTCAGTGAACGGCAGTTCACAGGTCCCCTTATATCGAAAGGGAGCGAAGTGACCTATTTAAGGTAGAATGTAAACTGAGTGTATTTATAAGTAGATAAAGCTTGGGTTTAATACCAACTATAAGCTACCTATAGAAATGCAATGTCGTTTGACCAATGGTTGGCTTTGAGCGACCTTGGTACCTTGTACCAAATATCCCGGAGTATGACGTGTCATACACCTGAAGTGTGAAGTGTCACACTTCACGTAACCAGGGTACACTTAGGGATACGTACCCCGTTATACTCAACAAGCCGAAGTCACGGATAAGGGCACACACTTCACATGATTTACAGCGACGTTTCATCCAATCTTACGTAGACGTAGGATCGTACAATGCGTTGCTTGAGCACAATTGGAAATAGGTCATAATCAAATCTTCCATCCGGGACGAGAGATGCCCAAAGTATCGACAGAGCGAGCACCTTCGCAACTTCCTCCCTCCTCGATTTTTTAATTGCAAGTCCGACTTGAGTAACCAGTAGCTCTTCGAGAACAACATAATTTCCCTCTCTAAGTACGTAGCAGCATGGTCCGAGCGGGCAGTCAGTGCTCCAGCAGCATGGAGCCTTGACTTGTGAGGGTGGCGGGATTTTTGCAACCAACTGAGAACCACCACTTGTTTTTTCTGTATGCGCAAGTTGCGAGAACCAGTGAAAATACAAACCCCCAGTGCAACTATTTTTGCAAGTGATACTGTTTTATTTGCAAATGTATTGCTTTCGCGAGAGCTTGAACTGTGACTACTGCACCTGATCCGCCAATAAGAATGTGATACGGATAAAAATACAACCTCGGCTGCAAATGGCCGGTTATGTAGAAGTACAGCGACACCAGTGATCACCAGGCCACACAGCCTGTGACGTGCCCTGGAGTGAGCAATGGCTGAGCTTTTTCTAGTAGATCCCGGTGCTTCTGATTGGCTAGACAAGAGGCTCATACCCGGCGCAACAACATCCGGTTTCAACCTCTCGTCCGTTGTGAGCCCTGCAAAGGAAAACGATGCAACTGTGCGCTCATTGAAGACATCAGGGCAACCAAAGTCTGTGAAAGAAGCTGCAGCGTTCAGCGATACGCTAACCGATATTACGATTTTGGCACCGGATGGAGATGAAATGGTGCGCTGACCAGTAGTCGAAGACTCGCCAATGTTGCCTGCCGCCACAACCACCAGGACGTCTTGTTTTCATAAATGAAAGCGTCCAAATCTCTGGCTTGTGAGCTGTAATCCGACCCAGGTGTGCCCCACGAGAATGAGAAAATCTTGGCACCAGCATCAATTTGACTCGCTGGCGTCTGCAGGTGTGACTAGTGACACGGCACAATGCAGCTGACCTGCGCAGGTTTCGCCCTGGGTCCTGATGTCCATAAATGCTATCCGTGCCTTGTCGCCAATGCCGAGATTGGCATGTTTACCGCTAATTGAGCTGCCAGCTAACAGTCCAGCGACGTGAGTACCGTGATCACAAGTGATAGTTTCGGCTTCATCCGCTTTGTTTGCCCAGCCATTGTACATGACGACTTTGCGCGCCGAAAGCTTTATTACTTTAATACGAAAATATCGCGTTCATCTTGATCGAATTGGTCATGGTACAGATACGATCCCGTGTCCGCGATGCCCACAACCACGTCGTTTCCTCGAATACCGACCTCTCTGGCTGAATAAACACCCATTAGACTTGGCACGTACGCATCTAGCCGTCGACTCTTCCTGAAGAGTCCAGCCATCACCAGGCGCGTACGTCGGCCTCAGCATGGCCTGGAAGTTCCTTGTCGACTCCCGGTCGAACTAGCCCCAACGCACCAGTTCCCATGGAGATCGGGTCCGCCGAACAGCGTGACATCCGCTGCTTCGGCTGTGGGAAGATGGGCCACTTCAAGCGCGACTGTCCCGCGGGAAGACTCCGCCAACGGTCTTTCCCCAAGCCCGCCCTCAAGGGTCGCTGGTAGAAGCCAGGATCCCGGGGACAGGGGAACGCTGGAAACCAGTAGGGGCGGGGTGCCCTACTGGGGAGGAACTAAGTTTTCGTGATGGGTGCGCGGGTGGCGCATACCACGGGGACCTAGCCCCTGAGAGTCTTCGCACTCTCGAATCGGCGAAGAGCAGCGGCGGGTTGCTCGTAGTACACGGATGTTGTGACGGGGTCACACAGCACCTTGCGCTAGAGGAAGTTATCTTCCGAGAGTATACAAACTCTCAGTGAACGGCAGTTCACTGGTCCCCTCTTTAATTAAAGAGAGCGAAGTGACCTAAATAAGGTAGATTGTAAACTGAGTATATTTATAGGTAGGTTAAGTTTGTGGTTAATACAAACTATCAGTTACCTATAGAAATGCAAGGTCATTTAACCAATGGTTGGTTTTGAATGACCTTGGTACCTTGTACCAAATATCCCGGAGTATGACATGTCATACTCCTGAAGTGTGAAGTGTCACACTTCATGTAACCAGGGTACACTTAGTGCTACGTACCCCGTTACATCCTCCCCCACTTAGGTTCGGTTTACCGACCAATCAGAATGAAGAGATGTTCGTCACAAACTCTCATTCTCAAAGTCGAAAACCATCGACTCGGCCGCGCGAGCGCGGCGGAGGCTCACTTTACAGTTAGAGCCTCGAGCAGCAACCTGTGCGCTCTTCGTCAAGGTCTCCACTTCGACCGTTAACATGCCTCGTGGCACTGCTAAGAGCGGTGCTAAGACACGCTCCAAGGCTGCAGCCGGTAAGGCGCAGGCCAAGAGCACTTAGCCTCACGGCAAAGGCTCTGCACTTAAGGAGGCTACTCAGGTGGCCTCCGAGGCGATCGGATCCTCGGGTGACGCGGCTGCGGGCAAGCGCGCAAGCAGGCGCCGCAGTCCGTCGCCCTCGTCTTCAGACAATCGTCCGAACCCTCGGTTCGTAGAACGTGAGTTCAACTCGGGCAGTGAGGACGATGCCGAGTCCGAGAGCACTCATGATGCTCCTGCGGGCTCTGTGGGAGGGCACAGCCCAGTGCCCAGTGAGCACAAAGAAGACAGCGTGCAGTCGTCCGCTAGTGATCACGGTGATCACAGTCCCAGGACCTCTGTGCGCTCTGAGAGTCCGGCCGTTAAGACTAAGGGCACTCCCAAAGCCGGTGGCGATGAGGAAGGGAGTCCTCGCAAACGTCTCTCGCTTGACGAGGGTCTTGCGCGCGCTAAGGCCTCTAAAGCCGAAGGCGCCAAGCCCTCAAAGAAGCGTACCGCCTCTAAGTCTCCACTCCGCGAGGAGAAGGAGACTCGACGCTCCTATCAGAGTCTCTTCGGCTCCTCGGATGAAGAGGAGGAGAAGGAGGAAGAAGAGGAAGAGGAGGGTGCCATTGTTGAGCCCCGGGAGGTCTCGAATGACCTCGACCAGCAGCAGGAGGATTTCCAAGCTGCCCAGCGTGTGCGTGGGGGTTCGGTGGCGGCAACCGTCAGCCAGGGAGCTGCCATCAACTCAAGAGGGTATTGGCCTCCCGAGGAGAGCTCTGGGGCTGACCTCTTCTTAGAGCTTCTCGTCGCTCCTTGTGGCCTTGTGGGCGGCCACACTTCTAGGGGCATCTATGAACGAGCCCTTGTTCAGAAAGAACAGTTGTTCGTCGACAACTTGGAGGCTGCTCGGTGTGTGCTTCTCGCGCCACACCGCATTCCCCTTAAGGACTTCACGACTTGTCGTAAGAAGCCCGAGACCCGGGGTGGTCTCTATCCTGTTTGGGGATACCCCTGGGTTATGCCCGAGAACTGTCCCACGTGGAGTTCTTGTGAGGACATGTTCTGGGCGTGGGTGGAGACTCTCAAGTACTCGCCCACGGAGTTATGGGAACTCCATGAAGATCAGCAGCTGTCCCACATCCTGGACCAGCGTGATCTTCGTGTGAGGTTTGCCCACTTGATCAGCAAGCGTATGCTGTTAAGGGACATCCTGAAGCGCGCGGCTTCTAGCGCTCACGATGAGCGCGGGTACGGTATGTATTCATCATCCGTACCCCGTTCGGGCAAGAAGCCCCGGACTACTTATGAAGCTGCCGCCGCTTCTGTTCCCAGATTGCGACAGCCTTCGGGCAGTCAATCAGGAGCCGTTCAATCGGCTCCCACGAGTTCTCGGAGTGGGCATAACCCCTCCACTTCACGAGGAGCTGTCGCTTCCCGCGACACCGTTGCTCCTGGAGGATCCGCTCCACGTGGAAGTGGACTTCTCCATTCCGGTCAAGCAGGGGCGGAGGTGCCCTCGTACGAGTACGAGTACTCGGCGCCTCCCGAAAGCCACTCTCGTTCGAGTGCTCCGACAGCGGGTCCGACACG